ATTTTTTTTTTTTTATACAAACAAATGTAATGTACATGTATTTCTAAATTAATTATTTTTTTTTCAAACATATCCAAATATGTTGTATTTTATTTTATATAAATATAAATAAATATTTTAAATATATGATTTCAAAATGTATATTTATTATTTTACCACTAATTTATCAATTACCTATCTATATATATATATTATTTCATTTTACATCATGAAATCAATCCTTAATTATGATTAATTAATGATAAACAACATCATTTTGTTTATGATTGAATTTTCAAAACACTGTAATCTTAGAGAGTAAATATACATTACTGAAAGTAGAAATAGTGATAAAAATTTGGAGAATTCCAGTAAGATATCCAAATCATTTCTAAGATATGATGGTTCAGAATTAAACTTATAAGAATTTGACAATTTTTCTTCAAATCAGTGTATGTGTTGTATATAATATATATATATATATATATATATATATATATATATATATATATAAATGTGCTAAATGATATATATTTAAATATATCAGGAACAATATTAAAGGGAAAAAGGACAAAAAAAATTTTTTTTGACAGATTTTATCCTTTTTTTCAAACTATATTTTAAAATGTATATAAATTAAATTACAAATGTGCATTTAACAAGGGATGCTACTGAATATTAATTTTTTTTATTTTTAAACTGATTTGAAATTTAGATTCTTTTTTTTTCATATGTTTTTGTTAGATATTCTCACACTGTGATAATAAAATTTCTTTTATATCCGTGAAATGTTTAAGAGCCTGATTAAAATTTAAATTTTTGAAATTGTGATAAATTCAATGATAAGTATATTGAAAATTTTTGAAGCAATCTTATTTTTCATCAGTGTATAAATATCAAATTTTTAAAAAATATATTATAGCAAATAAATGAAAATAAAATTTAATTAATAAACTTTCAGAAAGATAAAAATTTAAGTTTCTTAAAAATCATATTGAAAAAAAATTAAAGTGTAACCAAAATAAATGAAGAAAATTAAAATTTAGAAATTGAAACATTTAAAATTTTTTTTACATGTATTAGATTAAAAAAAAAAAAAAAAAGACTTAATTGAATAGTTGAAAGTTTATCAACTAAATTTTGCAAAAACAAATAAAAAAATAACATCCTTTCAATATTTACAATACAAATAATATTGATATTTTATGTAGTTTAAATTGATTAATGATAGCAAAAATCCTTAAGGACAACTGACAGGTCTAAATACCTAATAAAATTTTTGCAAAATAAATAAAACAAATTTAAACTTATTTCATTTTAGAATTAATGATAATTTTTCATAAAGAATAAAATATTTTTTATTTAAATATATTTACATTTTACAAATCCAAATTATAATATTTTTTTTGTTGGATTAATGTTTATTCATTTAAATATTTTTTTTTTTTTTTATGATAGTCTGGAATAAGATTTCAATGTTTAAAAAAAAAAAAAAAAAACTTCAAGAGGAGATTATGAACCTATGTTGGTCAACATCCTTCAAGTTTGTGATTTGAATTGGTTCTTTTATCTTAAAAATGTTCGGATCCTAGAAAAGACAAAAAGAATATTAGAACAAAAAAAACATTTATGAATTTTTAAAAAGGTTTGAGTTTACAAAAATTTTTTGCTGTATAATTTACATTGTTAAAATATTTTTTTTATTAACTGTAGATGATGAGAATTTCAGTTTTTGAAGTTGGAATTCCAATTGGAAAATTTTCATCACCTATCATTGGAGGTTTTCCCCTCATTTTGGTGGTAAATCCAAAAAGTCAAAAATAAACAAATGCTTGAAAATAATAATTCTACTTGATACAATTTATATTTATCCATAAAATTGACAAACCTCATATAGAATACTAACTCAACATGGGAAAAAACTTTATAAATAGAAGCAAGTTCACTGAACTAAAAAAAAATTAACAAACATATTTTTCATGGCCCTAAAATCTCAAACAATAAGAGAAATATGTTTTTGCTATGGACAGACAGTCTTACAAACAAATTAGATTTGACCAAATGAGGAACATATTTACAAATGAGCTATTAAGGCCATTTTATTGTTACTTAAACCTAAATAAAATTTCAATCAGTAAAAAATTTCATCATAGTCATAGATATTCAAGTCTTTAGCTCCAAAAGAAGGCAAATCCAAACATCTGTAAATTTTAACATACCAGAAACTTTTAAAAGTCATATAGTTAAATCAAAAAAATCAGTCATCTTAGCCTAAGATTTGAATAAAATGTATGTTGGTATTTTACAATAAAAATGTAAAAACAGACAGTGTTTTTTTTATTTGTTTTCAAAAATTGCAACAACCAACATAAATACATGATACAGACTTCAAAATGAAAATAAAAAAATATATCAAAAGAAAGTAGCAAACAATATAAGACTCAAAATTTTTATACAATATTCAATTATAGGAGAATGTTTTTAAGATTACAAAAAAAGAAGACAGGATTGGATTTTAGTTTTAATTATACAATAATGAATAAATGTTACATATATTACACATCTACTAAAAAATGAAACTCCATCATGTAACCTCTCAGTTAAGAATAAAAAAAATTCCCAAAAATTTCATTTAAAAATTTTATCCATGAAAAACTTGATTGAAAATTTTTAAATCAAATTTGAATATCTGTTCAAATAAGAAAAAAGTAAAAAAAAAAAAAAATCAAAAATCTAAAAATTAAAATTACTGTTAACAGATGTTAATTGATTTGTATTAGATTAATAGTATTCAATTTCATTAAAAGATTGTATTATTATTTTAAATAATTTTTATTATTCAAAATATTATAAACTTTGATTTTAGAAAAAATTGTATATAACAAATCTTCTAATAGAATCTGTGAGGTTTAGTGACAATAACAATTTTATAAACCCTTTCCATTAGAAAAAATTAATTTAAGAACATTTCTTCATTTTTTTTTTGGAATTGCAGATACAAATATTCCAATCTTTTTTTAAAATTTAAGTTTAAGCAATTAATAATTTCTTTCTTTATATGTCATTTGGTGGATATTTGTAAGGTATTTTTTTGGTTTTAATGACTTAAATAACAAGAGTTATCAGAAATAAATAAATTTTCCCAAAAAGAAAGGGGAAAAAAAAGCAAAAACAAAAAAAAACAGTAAAAGAAATTGAAAAACTCACATGTGAAAAACTTATGGACTTAACAAAATATGTCATTAAATATATTTTTATGGAATTTTAAAGCAAAAATAAAAATAACCTAATAATCTTTTTGTTTGTGTGAAAGTTCTTGTAACAAATTTTGTCAAGTTTTTTTTTTGATGACAACAGAATTGTGATTTTGAATTTCACACAAAAGCAGATAAACATCCTATGTGATCTGTTCAAAAAGAAATATAGTTTGGAGTTGAGCATTTACAAAACTGAATTTTTTTCAAAGTTTAAAAAGATCTTTTTAAAAGAGTGTCAAAAGGGCAGTTTTTCCCATGACATTGCTTTTATTTTAACTACCTTCACTCCTTGGCAATGTTTATTGTTTTAAGTGTTGATTAGAATTGTAATAAAACCTAAACATGATGAAAATGAATTCATACATTATTTTTTTTTTGTTCTTGACAATTTACAAAAAAAAATTAAACTATTTATTATTATTAGATTGTTTATTTACAAGAATAATTTTATATTTACAACATACCATAAAAAACTAATACAATTGCATTTTAAATTTATAAAGAAAAAAAATGAACGGTTTTTTTTATTCATAAATTTATAAACATTTAATAAATTATAAAAATGTGAACCAACTATAATGAAATCTTTATTTACTATTTTATAAAAGTTCGAATCAATTGACAAATGGCCAATGTTTTGCCAACTATTCCAACTAAATTCATTCAACTTTTTCTAGATCTACATCTAGTACGGCAGTTTAAATCCGATTCAATTTAGATTATAGCGGGCAGTTCATCCGAACAATTTTATAGTATTTAAAAAAGGCACAGGGAGGCAACTTTACGGCAAGGGAAAAGTGACTGATTTTAGGTTTTATTACAATTCTAATCGCCGCTTTTTAAAAGAATAAACATTTCCGAGCAGTGAAGGTAGTTAAAATAATAGCGGAGTCAAGGGCAAAACCGTTCTTTTGACACTCAGTAGTTTTTGTTTTTTTTCTTTTTGTTTTTTTTTTTTTTTGCAGATACTAAAGCAGTTATCGTAACACAAAATTCTCGTTCCTAGTCTTTCTGTTGTCGTCTTTTATTCCACTCAATATTGTGGACGAACTTGTACAATTAGTAAAAGAAAGAATAATCCATATCCCACAAGCTATTGTCGATTAAGTTGTAGTAGTACCAGCAACAGAAATTACTTATATTCCACGATGTACTGTTGAGTACTTTGTAGTAGTCGTAGTTTCGTAAACTACATTCCATTGACGATTAACTTGCACTAGTAATAACCAGTATTGTTGACTATATTGTATTAGCAGTACGAATACTAGTTTTGCTAAGAATAACTTTAACTCTATGATTTATTCTTTATTTTTAAAAATACCGTCTTCCTTGAAGACAGAGGCGTTAATGTGTCTCCATAGACACCATTTCCATTATTATCTGTGAATTACGACGATTTCTAGGGAAAAATACTGGAGTGGTTACCCACTAACTTCTTTACAGTTTTGATTTCAAGATTTTTTCTTCTACCATCAATACGTAGATCATGGCTCTCCACAGCTTTCTTTTCTTTATTATCTGTGAATTACGACGATTTCATGGGAAAGATAATAGACTTACTAATTGACTTATTTATTTTGATTTCAGTTTTCCTTTTCCCTTAATGTCGTGGATGATAATCGCTCTCCACAGCTTCCTTTCCTTTATTATCTGTGAATTGTCCAGGAATGTAGGTGTTCATGGCTCTCTATAGTTTTCCCTTCCTTATCGTCTGCGAATGATCTTGACTGCTTGGGAAAAAAACAGAAAAGAAAGCGGGCTTGGTACGATCACCGAAGTTAAGCAACGTCGAGCTAGGTCAGTACCTAGATGGGTGACTGCTTGGGAATACCAAGTGCTGTAATCTGTGCGGGTGGTGTAATTGACAATAGCTCGGAATTGCTAATTGTTCTGATTCCCGTTGGGTTCATTATATTCACTTGCGCGCAAATAACTTTGGGAAAAGGCATGAAACAACCTCTTCTCTAATTAACCCAGGTATTGGGTTGATTAGTATCACGAAATCATTATTATTTCCCCCAAAAAAACGAAAGAAAAAAATAAAAACGCGAACAAAATATTTAGTTTCCGGCATTAAATGACCCATAAATGTTCGTATGCTGTTAAACTAAATAAACCAACCAACTTACTATTAGTAGTACCAATGACAAATATTTCACAAGGTATTTACGGTTATTAGTATTAGTAATAGTATTAAAAATATTAGTAGTAGTAGTGACGCATATTTAACAATGTATTGTTGCAGTAGTAGTAGTAGTAGTTCTTTTGAAAATGTCAATTCTGGCCAAGATTCTGCATATTATTAACAAAGCCTCAGGGATGGCTGAAAGGAAATCCATTCACCCTGTGGATGTGTGTCGTGCTGGAGGGTTCTTGGATTTTATTTACCGGAAACTTTGGAATAAAACGAAATGGGTATAGGGTAAGATAAAACAATATATTTTTATTTATTTGCTTCAGACTAGAGTGAGTCCTTTTATATTCGCTGTAGCAACATGTTCGTTTCTCAGGCGGATATTGGTAGCCGTCTGGAGAAATGTCCGTATCAGATCAGTAGTGAATAGTTTCGGGGTCAGTCTCGCTCAAAGTAGTCATCTTAGAAATAGATCAGTGTCAATCTACTATGATTTTTTTCGGCCTTAAGAAGGACAGAAATGACCATGAGCAGATGACTTCTTAACTTCTTCACACGTCACGCATTGCTGGTTTCTCTAGCAGTCGTGTCTCTTGTCGTCACTCTCTTCTTCTTTGACCAGGCTCCGAGACTCTGGTACGAACCTTGGTTTCGGCTAACATCAAAAGTTTCTTTGTGTTAATTTTTTGGATTGGCTCCAAAATTATTTTATTTTCCGGCGTTCCTTTATTTTTCTTTTTTTACACACACACACACACACACACACACACACACACACACACACATATATATATATATATATATAGCGTTAGTTATGCGTAAGGTCTGTTTTGTAGATTTATGGAATTTGATTTTTGAAAAGAGAAAAACGTCACAAGGAGCGAAATCTGGTTGTCGGACCTGGGGAATGTAGTCCTTTGCAAAAAACTGCCGCACAAGCCATGGTTACCGATGGAACCTCTGTGGATTGGGGAGACGACCACACTCTACACGCTAACCTTCCCAGAAGTGCTATAAAGAACGGAAGCGAACGAAAAAATTATAATTTAGTGTGCATATGGTACATCTCAACCAAGCGACTTCCCTCTGCATAGTATAGCACCGTTACCATAGTAACAGACCCGATACTTTTTGATCAAACTTCGTACTTTAATTTATATAAATTTATTTGTAAAAATTTCAGAGTATATTTAGGACAATATGAATAAAGACAAAATGAAAACTTATCTTTTCGTCCTCTGAGGCACATCTGCCTTCATAAAGTCCCTAGAGGACAAAACGCGTTGGCTAAGATAAGTTTTTATTTTGTCTTTATTAATAAATTTATGTTATAACGATATGTAATTTTGTATAATTTTATATGTCAACAAACAGTATTTAGAAAAATAGTATAACAAATTAAAAAAAAATGTGACGCTTTTCATCCATTAGGGTTTCATCGGACTGGGATTTGTTGATGTTGTCACGTCTACACATGCGGACGAAACGAGAGACGCTGGTAGTTTCAAAATTTTTGAAATAATATTTTTGAAAGAATTTTTTTTTTAAAGTATATTTTTTTAATGTAGCAAAATTCATCCGTATTCTTTTTGTTTTTACTTGTTTGTTTTTTTTTGTTTTTTTTTACCATCACCTTTTCCCCTAACTATCCCGCAACAGAAAATCTACCAAGAATGGTGATATATTGTAAGAGCCTGGTCGCAAATTTTCCGTGGCTGAAATAGCGATCAAGTCACTTTCCAGACATTTTTATCTTAGTGAATGATTTTCTCTTTTAATCAAAATAAAATTCCCTTTGTAAAAATTGTAGTCAGTTTCGTTACAGTGAATAACCAATGCGTTTTGTGTATTGTTTTTTTGAAATGTCCCTTCTTTGTTCATATAGTCTTTTGTTTAAACGTCTTGAGGTTTCTCCAATGTATTTATTGTGGCAATTCCTACACTTGATAGCGTAAATTCCTTTTTCAAGTTTTACCTTCTTGTTTTTGTTTTTTTTTATTGATTAAGTCTTTGATTGCTTAAGTTGTAGTTGTGACAAATTTTATGTTGAGTTTATAAATTTATAAACGCTTTCATCCCTTATTTAAAAAGGAATCTTTATGCAAAAGAAATATATCTGTTTTCGTAGACAGAACAGACAGGGCCGGTTACCTCTGTAAGAAGTCAGAGGTCGATTTTACACAATATCAATATTATGAAGAATCCCCACCTTTTAAAAACGGTTTTAAAACAATATTTTCTGATTTTCACAAATGTTGCGCATTGGCGAAGATCTCACAAATGCTAATCCATAAAAGACGTTTACAAACAAACAAACAAAAATCGCCTATTTTTTACGAGTGGACCAGTAAACTTAAGTAGTTCCGACATGGTATTAAAAATGGAATCTAAATGTAAAAAAAATATCAACGGTCTTCATCGGAACATCGGAACTACTAATGAAGAAACTGGGAACTGTGGGAATGTTATAGATGTCTGTGTGCACGTAAAATCTATTTATATATGATAAAAAGATACGGAATTATATTCCGAATTTAAATATCGGACTTTACCGTTAATATACCGTGGAAAAGTACAAGTAAAACTGATTAATTCTGATTAAATATTTATTGATTTGCCCTAAACCTGAGCAGCTGCGACAGAAACGATTAAATTAAAAGAAGAAAAAAAAGAATTTAATTATATCTACCGATTCGTGGAAATGTAAGGCTTTTTTAGCGTTACTTTCGTTATCTTTCATTAAAGTCATTAACAAGTTCAGTCAGTAGGCTATAGCGATTTACCAATCGTAGCTTAGATGCGACACAAGGCTGAAAGTATGGAGTCCCCAGTGAGAATCGAACTCACTAGTCAGTGGTAATTGATGTAGCAAGATAGCCTTACTAATGAGTACAAAATGTCGAAATGACCTCAGTCAGTAGGCTATATCTATAAAAGTGAACTGGGCTTCGGTCGATATCCTATATATATATATATATATATATATATATATATATATATATATATATATATATATATATATCGATGGGTCGGACAAAACTAAGCTACTGTTTATTTATGAGGTCTCGTTGGGATAGATAGATAGATAGATAGATAGATAGATAGATAGATAGATACCAACAAACACGTCTAAAATCTAACAGTCAGGTCTTGCATAATTTAAATTATGAGCTATCCAAATTGTAGATAAAATTTTAAGCAGTGGATGAAATGATTTGCGAGAAATGAGGCGAGGTCAGTACGAACGTAGAAGGAAAGGTCAGTACGAATGATCAGAGCGGAAATTTTAGACACATGTTCAAAACAGAGCGAGGCAAAGGAGGGAGATCGCTGCTTTGCGTTGGGTCAGTTAAGAGCCAGCAGGACCCTTGAATCACAGGCCGATTATTAGTCAGTTAACAGAATTGATTTTGAATTATTTGCTTCACTGAAATAATCTCATAAGACAGAGAATCTAAAACAAACAAAAATACAATAAAAGGATTTTATTTTTAACTCGTTCTTTATACACATGTTTTTCGAGCACTGTATTTAAACATTTCATTTTCAACAATCTATCTATCTATCTATCACTACATGTTCATATCATCTATAACGATTTCCATTTTGGAATACAGGTTCGATTCCTGTCGGAGAACGCATATTTTCTACGAAATGTCTAGAAAATTCAGGCAGGTAAATACAATTAATACTGTTTAATTGAAAACAGAGCATATACTTAAAAAAATTATATTTATAAAAACAATTTATAAACAGAAAATATTTGTATATATATATATATATATATATATATATATATATAATTATTTTTTAAAATATGATTCCATCTCTACATAAAATCTCTCATGTTTCAAAAACAGAAGCTAAAAATTTAAATTTCATTTATAGAAATTAAATTAAATTAAAGTACCTAGTTCTGTTTCATCCTCAAGCGAATTTTGGAATAACAAATTTAGAAATTTACGGAGCTTTATAAGCATATACATTCATAATATTATTTTCTATGTATATGGAGAAAACTAATCATTTTAATAAGGGATGGTAGGGTATTCATTTTCACTGACAACTATTGTATCAACATATAAGTTACTTTAGAAAAGAAGTTAAGTCAAAGTCGGGTCGGGATGCCTTTTTATCAAACGAATGATGATATCCTTTCAACACGCTACGAGTGCGTTGTGTATTTTAACACAACGTTGAAAATTTCAGTTGCAGTTGTTAAAAAAATCGCAAGAGACAGACACGTATACAAAAGCAATATCCTGTCCGGTGGCAAAAGCTGTTGGTGGCGCCAGAGGTGGCAGTGCTACCTTAGCCACCAAAACTGTGTTACCTCCCCTAGTTGGCGGCTGACGAGGGCAGAGTATTACACGTTCTTTCACACGTTGTAGGTAGAGAAAAATTTATCTGTAGTTGAAGACAATTGCGTTCAAAATATATTTAGTTGAAGCCATAAAATTATGTTCAAAATATTTAGATTTCGGCATTAAATAACCCATAGAGATGTTGATATATCGCTAAACGCAATCAACTAACCAACACTTTCTTTCTTCCCTTTTCTTTCTTTCTTTTGTTTTTATTCCACTATTGTCTCCCTTTCTCTTTCCTCTCTTTCTCCCTTTTGCACGTAAATTTAACCTCTCTTTCTTCACCTTTTCTCGTTTCTCTCTCTCTCCCCCCTTATAAATATGCCACTTTTATCTTTCTTTTTTTTCCTTTGGTTAATCCGTTTTCTTTCTCTCCTTTACTTTTCTATATAACTACTCTCTGTGTTTTCTAATCTCCCTTTCAGAGACAGAGTCTCTTTTACGTCTGCTTCTTTCTTTCTTTCTTTCTTTCTTTTGTTATTATTTTCTTTCTTTCTGTCTGAGATATAAGAAAAATATATCTGCAAAAGGAACAATACGAATAAAGACAAAAGCATGTTTTTCTGAAGCGTTTCGTCCTCTGATGGGCTTTATTAAGGCAAATGTAACGATTTTATTTTGCAACGAATATTTATAAACAAAAAACAGCTTACTTTTCTATGTAACGGAGATCTGACATTTAATTGGTTAATCAAGACATACCACGAGTCTATTTTTAATTCTGATCTTATGTCCCCACTCTTTAACTTTCGGAAAAGAGGTAACACTTTGTTTTTTAATTTCCTTAAAAATCATTTAATCATCATTTACTTACCATCGCCTGAAGAAGTACAATCATAGTATTGAAACATGAAAACTTTTGTGTAGCGATTTCAAAAGGTTTTTTCTATAATCTTTTACAATAAAAATATGATAATAATATATTGCTCTACTTTGTATTGAGCACTTTTTTAAAAGTAAATGCTACGAAGAGTAGATTTTTACTCCATCTGTTCTTTCTCTCATTTATACACACACACACACACACACACACACACACACACATATATATATATATATATATATATATATATATATATATATATATATATATATATATGTATGCGTGGATTCCAAAAAGTTTCATAGCAAAAAAACCTTTTCGTAATTTTTCAATCCACTCTTCAGGAGGTTTTCAGCAATTGAGTGCTTTTTTTCCATTTTCGCTGTTTCTTTAATAAGTTTGATGTAAGTAATTTAATTTAATTAAGATAGTTTTATCACTGGGGTTAAGTTGATTTTTTCCCTCATTTTGTGTATATTTTTGTGCGTTTGCGTGTGTGCATGCGTTTGTGTGCGCACGTGCTCATGTACGCATGCGTCAAATATCGTGGTTATTTCTCCTCTTCAATAAACCGATAAAGTTCAATGGATTTATTTGTTTGATATACTTTAGAGTTTCGCATCAAAAACGCATGTCATGGTCAGATTTTCAATAAACACACACACACACACACACACACACAAACACACACACACACAAATATATATATATATATATATATATATATATATATATATATATATATATAATTTAAATAGCCGATATTTCAGCAGCAGTAAATTTCAAAAATGTTTGATTAAATAATATCTCGTCTACAGTCGCTCTTTCACAGACGTGCCTCTGTCTTCTCTACTAATGCTTTCACGGTAACTGCTCCGAGGATCGACTTTCGCTAGTTCCCAGCCTGCGTGAATTTAAGCAGTGCTACCAGGCTAGCATCATGGTCCCTCCCTTTCACTGTCCAGACGGTTAAATGTGGCCGTCTCTTCTACTCCAATAGCTTCATGTCTCGCACCTCACGCCTGTGGAATTCCCTTCCTATTACTTGTTTCCCTGATGGCTATAATCTCCAACTATTCAAATGTAATGTCAATCGACATCTCCAGACCTATTCCCTGTCCTTCTCTTCATCCTTTCCTCCATCACGCTTCTTTACTCTCGCTCCCACTCTGTAACCTCTTGCATGCTCGTGGCATCTCATCTTGCTTGTGGTGAAATGCTTTAAAAAAAATCTCTCTATTAATTGATTTTATTTAATTTTTCAAATTTCCCAAAAAGGTCTTTTGCGTTATCGTTAAATTTACCAATGTTCATATTTATTTCTATTTTATTATTATTATTTTCTTCCCGAGTACTTTCGAATGTTGCTACATTTGTTTTCTAGAATTGTTCTGTGTATATTTAAGCAATTGCTTTTTGAATTCCGGCGTTCGCATGTTTGATGGAACCTATTTTATGCCCTCAAGGCAAAGTCATATAAAAGATTAAACTAATTTTTTATGTTTTGCCAGTGGTTATTTTCAGGTATATTTATGTAGCAATTGCTCGTTTCAACATGTATTCTAAAACCAATTTGACATTTTGTGCCTATTATATTTAATGATCATTTTCCATAATGTATTAATAGCCTTTTGCAAATGCGTTTGTTGTGTGTGAATAAATTGGCCAAAATTCACGTTGTGCCGTCCCAATCATTCGATGTGAAATCATCTGGGGTTTGGAGGCGTGTAAAGAAAATGAAACGTGTTTTAAGAAGTAGACTGTATCATTATTTTTTTTGAAAAATGCCGCTACCTTTTCATCAAGTCATATGACACCGACGTTCCATAAGGTTTTTTTCAAATAATCATTCTGTATTCATTTAAAAGTGCGGGATCTCAGACTATTGTTAGTTTTATTTATGGATGGCTACAATAAATAAATATAAGTAAATGGTTTCTATAATTTTTAATCTTGTTTATAATTAGATATATGATCTAGTCAAGTGCCATACGTGATGCACGCTTGGACAATCGTGTCTCTTTCGATGCATAACCGACCGAGAAGATGTTCCCGCAGTAGGCTGCCGTTTCTTTCTGCGGCAGATTCGTTGCCTACCAAATCTTTAGGACCTAGTCTGTCTGGCTATTCAACAGGGGGAGAAGAGACGGATTCATACCTGTTCCAGCTGGTTGCAACGAAAATGACTAGAATTCGAACTCGGTTCTTTAATTTCTCAGTTCGATCCGTTATCCATTACACCAGACCACCCCGCACGTTTAGATAACCTATTAGTGCGCTTAAATTCATATGGTCTAGGTACCAAGGAGGAAATCTCTTTAGAACAATTGCCATGAAAAAAAGAAACAGGGAGGCCATGGAAAAACGATGGTAAAATGACTGATGCTGAGATGCCAGCTCAGGACCAATAACATTGCAGATAAAAATCATGCAATATATATATATATATATATATATATAACAGGAGCACCAGATCAGATATGGCTGCAATATTCACTACACAGGCGACTGGTAGATTTACAAACATGCAAGATAGATTCTAGTGAGAAAAATTGCCTTGCACGACACAGTGAACCAACTTTCCTAAAAACAGACCTAGCAACTGATTCAATATAATCTCTTCGTGTCAGTGGAAAAATGTGAAACCAAGGAGGCTCGACGTGTTGCTCTCCTGCAGGCTAGCATCAGCCATGCTGATAAAAGACAAAAATAGTTCTCTAATTTGTTTAAAAGATAGCAGCTTTCGTTTTGGATGCATTAAAATTTACAAACCATTTCTTACCCCAGTAAACAACTGATTGGAGGTCATTTTCAAGAACATCTGCTAGTTTTACTTTGTCAGACCTATAGGATTTACTACCATTTTAAAAAATGGTAAAATCGAGAAAACGCACGGTCGTATAATGGATATCGAAAGTGGAAACGGCGTACCGAGTTCAAACTCTAGCTTAATCTGTCCACTTTGGGTGAAAATGGTTTAAAAAATTGACTGCTCCATCTGTATGTTATTTCCCAAAATTGGTTAATTATTCTTTCAATTAATATTCTCCCTTTCTTTAATCACTTGAAAGATATTTTTCATTTCAGTGCTTCTCTTTTCTTCGTAAAATATTTTTTTTATATTTTTACTTTGCTTTTTCTCTTTGAATTTCTACAATAAAGGATGTCGTCTAGCTCCTTCCCCTTTGCCATTCGTTTCAACTTCGTGACCCTACGATTTGATTCGACAACTTGCGCAACGCCAATTCACGATTAAAATGAATCATTAGGCAAAAGAAATAAATCTGATTTTCATTAAACAAAAACAAAAAAAACAGACGATAACTTTGCCTTCTATTACAAGATGGCGGCGAAACAACGAAAAAAACAAGATGGCGGCGAAACAGTGAAAAACAAACAAACTAAACCTTTAACTGCATCGCTTAAATGGGGAAGTTAAGGAATGGCAGAACAGAAAGGAAATTATTTCTTCATTCGAACTCTTTTTGGTTGTTGCTATTTACGTCATATTAATACCATTTTCAAATTTATTAAAATACCGGAAACCAAACTTCTCCATAAATGCTCTGTCCTAGTTCGCCGACGCCAAGGTTTCGATCCATTTCTTCAAAGAAATGAATTAAATCAAATCATAAAGAAAACTATGATTTAATATTTTACAAATGATAAGATGGCTAAGTCTTCTGGATCATTTCATTTTTGCTATGGTGATTTTTTAAGCGTAGCTTAGATGTGGCGCAAGGCCGAATGTATGGGGCACCTAGTGAGGATCGAATTCAATACTCAGTCGTAATTGTTCTAGCGGAACAAGCTTGCTAACCACTGCACCATTTTTTTTGGTCTGAAAGGGCACTTAAAACACACACACACACACACACACACACACATACACACAGACAGTTATTGAAACAGTAAAAAGAAGCTTTAGATAGCCATGACTGGTTAACTGATGAAGGGAGATAGTGAACTCTGAAACTGTATAGAAGAGAACAGGAAACCGCTTTAGTATCTTTCCCAAATTTTTTATGACAATTCACAGATAATAAATAAAAGGAAGCTGTGTAGAGCAATGAACGGCTACGTCCTGAAAGGAGAAGGAAACTCCTGAATTCAAAACCGTACAGAAATAACGAGAAACCCCTTCAATATCTCTTCCAGGAAAGCATGACAATTTACAGATAAGGAAAAGGAAGCTGTGGAAAGCCATGAACACATAGGTCCTGAAGAGAAAAGGAAAACTCTGAATATAATATCTTAGAAGGAATTTGGGAAAACACTTCACAATCTTTCATAAGAAATAATGAAAAGGAAGTTGTGGAGAGCCGTGATCTCCTACGTTCTGAAGGTAGAAAATAAAATCCTGAATTCATAACTGTAGAGAAGGCAACGAGAAATCACTTCATTGTCTTTTCCAAGAAGTTATGGCAATTCACAGAAAAATAATGAAAAGGAAGTTGTGGAGAGCCATGATTGGTTACCTCATAACACCCTGAATTCAAACTATAGTGAAAGCAACGGGAAATCCATTTATTGTTTTCCCAAGAAGTCATGAAAATTCATAGATTATAAAGAAAAGGAAACAGTGGAGAGCCATGATCGGCTACGTCATGAAGAGAGAAGTAAAACTGAATTCAAACCTTAGAGAACACAACGAGAAACCACTTTACTGTTTTCCCAAGGTGTCATGAAAATTTATAGATTATAAAAAAGAAAGTTTTGGAGAGCCATAATGGGCTTCGTCTTGAAGAGAAAAGTAAAATCCTGAATTCAAACCGTAAGGAACGCAACGGGAAATCACGTTATTATTTTTCCAAGAAGATTCATAAAAGAAAAGGAAACAGTGGAGAGTCATGATCGGCTACGTCTTGAAATTCAAACCGTAGGGAAAGCAACGGGAAATGAATTTACTGTTTTCCAAAGATATCATGAAAATTCATAGATTATAAAGAAAAGGAAGCTGTGGAGAGTCATGATCGGCTACGTCTTGGAATTCAAACCGTAGAGAAAGCAACGGGAAATGAATTTACTGTTTTCCAAAGATATCATGAAAATTCATAGATTATAAAGAAAAGGAAGCTGTGGAGAGTCATGATCGGCTACGTCTTGAAATTCAAACCGTAGGGAAAGCAACGGGAAATGAATTTACTGTTTTCCAAAGATATCATGAAAATTCATAGATTATAAAGAAAAGGAAGCTGTGGAGAGTCATGATCGGCTACGTCTTGGAATTCAAACCGTAGACAAAGCAACGGGAAATGAATTTACTGTTTTCCAAAGATATCATGAAAATGCATAGATTATAAAGAATAGGAAGCTGTGGATGTCCATAATCGACTCCATTCCGAATAAAGAAAAAAACTTTGAATTCAAACCGTACAGGAAAGCAAAGGATAAGCACTTTACCGTTTTCCCAAGATGTCACGAAAATTCATAGATTATAAAGAAAAGGACGTTGTAGAGAGCCATGATCGCTTACGTCTCAAATTAACTGCAATAAAAAAGAATAGATAAAAGAAAAGATCAATTTACCTTTGTGAGCTCTCCAACAATGAGAGCTTGCTGGATTCCCGAATAGAACATTACTCCGGTGGTAAGGAGCCAACGTTTCTCTCCCCAGACGTGAAAAATGTCATGCAACTGCTGCTTAAAATCCAGGTTTCGCCTCTGTACCAGAATATCTGGCTTATGGAGGAAGACAGACACAACTACAAGCGCTGTGATCGTAAAAGAAAGGAAGATGATTTTCACCGTGTGAAACTCTACCGTGTATTTATCCACAATTTTTTGCGGATCCTTAGGACAATAGTCCACGTGCATCGCATCGTATGGTCGACTCTGCACGAACGGTCTATGAAACTGTGACTCAGACGGCAAGTAAGAAATATCGCGCACCGCCCGGTTGGTCAGGTCAAATAGGGCAGCCGAGTCGTCAGCGGCGGCGGTGAAAGTCAAGGTGGTGTTCTGTCGGTCCAAGCCCCGAGCAGCGTGAAGACTGTCGTGTTGAAAGAAAATGACCGACACTAGGGAGTTCCCCAAAATCTGAGCCAGCTGAACGCTCACTATGAGCGCTGTATGAAATCGTTTCAACACCTGGTTTACATTCGCGCCGGACAGGGCGGCGTAATTAGCGGCATAGCTTGTGCACAGTAGTTCTTGTGACCGCCACAGCACCGCCTGACACAGGCCGAGGACGCAAGAAGCTGGGATGAGAGTCTCAAACGACGGATACAGCTGTGAACCGGCGAAAATCGAGTGTCCTATAATGGCTAGCACGATCGCACCTTTCGGGTGGATGTAGTGGGCAATAGTCGACAATGCGTAGCAGCCAATCACGTAGGTGGCATAGATACAGCAGAGCGAGAAATACCCGAGCCCGTTATACGGGTACATGGTTGACAGCAGGTTTCGTAGCGGGATAAATGTGCTCATGATGAGCAGGAGGCTGAGGCAAAGCGACGCCAGGTTGATCCACATCGTGCTGCGGTGTCGGCGCATGCGCTCTGCAATCCATTTTTTATGCTCCACCACCACGCCCTCGACATCTATGGGGTCGTACTTGTCGAATTCCTCACGGAACTTGGCTGAAGTCATTTTTTCTTCGGATTTCGCGTTTAGCCGCGATGGTCGAGTACTCGTCACTAGATCGATATCCTCTACTGCCTCTTCTTCCGTTCTTTCTTAGCTCTCTCGCTTTCTCTCTCGCACTCGATTATTCTTTTGTTTTTCCTGCTTCGTTTCGTTCCGGTAATTTCGCGCCAATCAAAAGACCCTTGGTGGCGACGGCAGCGGTGGTGGTGGTTGTGGTGGTGGTGTCGGCGGTGGTAGTGGTGATGATGATGGTGAAATGTACAGAAAAAAAATCTATGAAAGATGACGTCATTCCATGCTTGCTCGACGCCGTCACCCCAACCAGCTGTTCATATTTACCTAAAAAAGAAAAAAAGAAAATATAAAACAATTATATAAATGTGTGAAACTATGGTTGTAAAGAAAAGAAAAGACTGTCAACTTATAGTGGCAACAAACATCTGCAATAGATTTCTTCTGTCTCTCGACCGCAACACTTGTAGCCAAATCACAGTTCAAACGATAGTCCGTCGTAACAGTCCAACATGCAACGTAGAAACTATAAAATGGGGTCACACATTCAACTTTCACTTCTCACCAGCAAAAAACGCGTATTCGTCTCCCGAGCTCAGAAAATCTCCTGCCTTTATAAGCTAAGAACAACGGCTTTTGTTCACCGAGAGATCATTCTGAGTGGTCACGCCTTTCAGGGGTGAGAAGAACTTTAGCATAGATTCTAGTCCTTACAGGGTTTTTTTTTTTTTTGCTAACTACTTTTCGGTAATTTTTCTTCGCAGATCGAACACAAAACACGAACTCTTTTTCGAGGTAGCTGATTATCTCTTATACAATAAATAACATCAAAAACAAAAAAAATAACTGAAAAAAAAAAATTACTGCGAATTTAAAAGACAAACAGAATCTATTGCAAACGTAATTTCGTGATTATGGCTACGCAGAGGCCACCTAAAAAGAGAAACAAAACCTTTTATCATTGCAGTCTAGAATAAATACTTTGTGACGAACAGGTACAACAAGGAAACTGTTGGCAGAGTAAGAATGAACACCTTTATTGGCAAGCCAAGAAATTACAAGACTTTCTTTTTTCTTCTTTTTTAAATACGAATTTTCTATTCGTTCTTAAAGTGTTGGGCCAGCATTAGTGTTAGTAATAACGGTGCAGGTGTTGCGGGTAATATGTATGTTGGTTTTAGAGTTGGGAAACACGTGTCTCTTGAAATATGTATCCCACAACAAAAATGGCGGCCTCGCATATTGAGGGAGTGAGACATCTATTTGACAAGCGTATGTGGATAGAATGGATGGCGGGTCATCGGCACAAAGAGAGAAAAACCGCTAAGAGCCGAAAGTAAGGGCTCCGAGAAATATTTTGTCCACTTACTGCACCCCCCACAGCAACCAGTTCATGTCCTTGCCATCCATTTACAAAAGTTCGTTAGGTAGGTTACTCGCTGTTTGCCCCTTCTTTTCAATATGTCCTGTGAGTGTCAGATTCTCCAAGCTTTCTTTCCTCATTACGTGTCACATAAATTTCAACTGTTTTCTTTCTCATTCTAAGTGTCCTTTTTCTTTCCATTTCCTCGCTGCTTACCTGCTCCGTCCATAACATTCCCAACGTACTTAAAGTATAATCATATCTCAAGTCTTCTCTTCATCTGTGAGGAGCATTTACTAGGGTACGGATTTCACGTAGTAGTTCAGCATACATTTTCCTGTTTCAGCAATGCAAAACATAATTGCTATCAAGGGAATCGATCATGTCTACATTACGATTGTTAACATGGCGGAAATATTGCATGACCCCTATCAGTGTTAACGTTCTTTAATATCATAATATTGTCTACCATTCGTCCATGCATTAAATGTTGCTGTCACATCTGCTTTAGTTTGTTTGTTTTGTTTTACGGCATATCAACCTCAATGGGTCATTTAATGCCGACAACTTTTTTCCTGGTAATATTTTTGTATCATCAAAAAATCTATTTTATTGTTTTACGGCATATCAACCTCAATGGGTCATTTTTTTTTCCTGGTAATAAAATCAAAATATTTGTTAATATTTTTCCTTAAATTTTGTATAAAATTATTTTCAAAACGTATTGCTGGTAATAGTTGTTTTTACAAAGTATTTCTGCTATTAAAGCCTATTTTTCCATTTTCATAATGCTTTTTACCTCAGTTTCAGGGTTAACTAATTGCCCATAACTGGGACCCCAACAGGTGCTACCACCCGGGTCAGGGCGGACCTGGGAACACCAGCAATTAAGAGGTGGTTCTACGCTCCTCAAAACCTCCTGATCAGAGGCCTTGCTGTTGGACGTAGTTTATCATCTTACCCTGGACACAGATGTAGTTTATCGTCATACTTAGGACGGCACATCTGGTTTAGTGCTTCTGCTATGTATTCAGAGATTCTAGATAAAATACAAAGATGAATCGGCAATGTTATTGGTCCTGACCTGACATCTCAGCTTTAGTCAGTTTCTCATCGCCGTAACATAGCTTCCCTGAGCATTTTCTATAAATACTTTCACGGTAATTGTTGCGATAGACTTCCCTCTCTGCTACACAGGCTTTATGAATTTAATCAGAGTTCTAGATTGGTGGCAAGGTCTCATCATTTTACAATTGAAATGGTGAGATGTAACCGTAAGTTCCATGCTAATTGTTTCTTCTCTCGTACTTCTCGCTTGTGGAACTCACTTCTGGCTTCCTGTTTTCCAGCCAACTTTGATCTTCAAAACTTTAAATGACATGCCAATCGTTATCTTTTGTCTTCTTAATTCATGTTCTTTTATTGTTCTCACGATTAATAACACTTTTTTTCATATTCTCACACATAGTAGTCCACCTTGCGTCTTAGTAGCGTTATAGCCTTGCTTCAATGGAAATGGTTGGTTAGCTTTTTTAATAGATCATGACATTGGGTTGCGTTGGCAACTGTCTAAACGCAACATATCTCCGACTGAAACAATATTCTAATTGAAATTCACGTTTCCACAGCTTTTCTCATGATCACCGTGATCATTTTTTATTTATTAGTGCTACGCCGACTGCATTATCCTCAAAGCTACAGCCTGCGCCAACGGGGAAGCTACCATTTTAGGTAAAATATTTACCTACCAACTATAAATCAATGACCAACTACCAACACAGTTCGTTTAACTACTTACATTCATATATAATTAAACAGTGATGAATTGGTATCTAGCTGGATTTTTTTAACCAATTTTAGACGCCGATCGATTCCATTGTTCATATATACAATCACGCACAACTGGTTATTTACAAAGCCAATTTGTGCCTGACCCAAGGAGAATCGAACCTACAAAAGGATCGAATATTTTATAAGAACAGGAAAATGTCATTAGAAACAAAGAAAATATTATTGAACTGTTATGTAATATCAGTCCTCCTATATGTCAGTGAATGCTGGACAATCTCCTCATAGATGAAGAAAAGACTTAGGGCAATAGAAGCAAAGAAAAGAATACTGAGCTACTATGTAATATCAGTCCTCCTATATGTCAGTGAATGCTGGACAATCTCCAGGTCCAATTTATAGGAACACCCTTTATAATTTACATGTCGATTGTTGTCTTTATCTTTGTTGTTGTTATCACAAAATTTCGGCTGGTGTGTCCCTCACCAGGTGCTTGTCGATTTGATACCTTTCAGGGGAGGTTATCGTGACAAGTAGCAGCAACAGTACTACTTATCAGCACCCAGGTTAGTTTTAAGGCTCCATGTTATCTACTCAGGATTGTCCCACGGGAAAATAGCCTAGTGGATTAAAGTGATTTGAAAAGTACCTGAAAGAGCATACCACGGGTTAACCTAAGTCTTGTGAGTGAAATTAGGTAGACGGAACCCTTAGAAAGCCGTCGGTGGTTGTGCTAGCACGAAGTCACAAGTCATCGTGACCGAGGGTTTGAGCGTGCCGGTCTTGTTCAGACCGTTGATCACCGCTAGATAACGCCTGTAACTAAGGTCCGCTCAGTGTAGTTGCCGTATAAATGTGGGCTCAGTGGGTGCTGAACAAACACAAATGTGCCTGATTAGGCGTCAGCAACGGCTAGCCGCCTCAGTAGACGGGAATTCCCGGGTACGAATGGTCAGCTACTAATTGTAAAAAAATCCATCCGAACTAGAAAAATCTAAAAGGTTCAAATCGAAATTCCTTGAAAATGACCCGGATGACCTTGATGAGGACCGAATTGCACAATGGTCAAAATGTTGTGATAGTTGCAACAAATTTGAGGACTATAGTCCGCGTGGAAATTCGGTAAATAATAGAATATTAGTAGGCGGTATTTTATTTACTCTTTATAAAGTGGTTACTATAGGAAGCCCGGTGGAGTAATGGATAGCGGCTCGGATTGAGGAATCTGAGAGCCGAGTTCGAATTCCAGTCGGATCCATTGCATCCACTTACGTGCTGATACCCTTGGGAAAGGTTAATGGGAGGCACGCTTGGATTGAGGAATCGGAGACTATGGGTAAATAGCAGGACAGACCGGGTTCTATAGTCTTGGATGACAACTGGTTTACCGCAGAAAGAAATGGCAACCTACTGTGAGAAAAAATCTGCCTCGTCAGACATGTATAGAAGGATACGTGACTGACGAGGCATGGCACATAAATGATTCCTTGCATAAATATGCCGAGTTCGAAGTCCTGTTCTTCTCCCCCCAGCTATGGGTTAATAGCCACACAGACTGGGTTCTATAGCCTTGGATTGCAACTAGTCTACCGCAGAAAGAAATGGCAAGCTACTGCGGGAATAAAAATCTGCCTCGTCAGTCATGTATTGAAAGATGCATGATCGCCTAACCGTGTATCATGCATGGCACATAACTGACTGACTGGTTACTATACGGTGTTCATTTGAAATTCCCTTTTTCCCC